AGAACTCATTTAAACCTTCCATAACAAAACAGTCAACTTTTCATAACATTTAAAAACGTTCAACTTTCCAAAAGATATCTTTTAAAAAAACAAACGCGCCCTTAGTGATATGAAGAAGAGCGAGAGAGAGAGAGAGTTATCCTTCTATTAGAGGGAAGAAGAAGGGATAAAATTATCCTTTTTAGAGAGAAAAAGAAGATGAAAAAGATTCAGGGCTCCACATCTTAAGCTTTTTCTTTGTTGAGAGATAAAGAGAGAACCTTTTCTCTTAGAGTGAGGAAGCCTCTAGGGAAAAAAAAAGAAGTCTTTGAGAGAGAGAAGAACCTCAGAGACGGAAAACATAAAAAGAAAAAATCTCTAGAAGAAATCAGTGATCTCAAGAAAATCTATTTCTTAAAAGACTATTGTAATCGTTAAGTTAGTAGTGGATTCGTCTCTTTCTCCTATATATGTATTCTAAAAATGTGAACCACCATCCGCAGTTATGCAAGATGGCTCTAATTGGGTAACCCAACACTATGTACTAAATTTCTATATATATATTATGTATCCCCATCTATAATTACATGGGTCTGATTTACTGTCTCACATCCACGGTGCGAAGACACCAGAAATGATCCCATTTTTTATTAAAAGCTAAGGTTCACAAAATGTGGTGCAATGGGCAAGATTTGATACCTCAACCTTTTTAAGAGGCTCATATCGTTTTATCAATATGCTACTTGAGTACTCGTGTTAAAAATATGCATCTTATTATATGTGCCTTCTTCCTTTTGTTATTCCTTTTCCTTTTTTAACATGACATGAAGTCGGCCGAGTTAGTCGGACTCGGCCAAATAATGCACTTTGGCCAAGGTCTGAGTACATTGGCCAAGTCGATTGTCTATGCACTGCACCTCTGTTTTTAGAGAACATGAACAAGATTGATGTCTCTAACATTAAACCAGGTTCCCTCATTTATGTGATGTTAGGGATTTTGATCCGCCCATTTCTCATTCCTGTTTTTTATGCAAAGCTCCCTCTCTCCCCAAGCCCATCTCTCTCTCTCGAAACCTTATTTGGTCTAAGAAAAGGGCAACAGAGACGAAACTTGACTCTATTATTTCTCAAGTTGGATTTGTTATCTACAAAAATTCGTTAACTTCATTTGCTTTAGTGATTTTCTCTGCTGATTTGGAGTTTTTAGTACATTTCTCACATATCTAATACTTTATGAGATTTTTGTGTTTTCTCCTTGATTTTTAGCGTTTTGATGCTAAAAGTCTCATTCATATGTATTGCTTTGTGACTTCGTTGTGCTACATTCATGTGTTGTTGATTCATCCTCGTATGTTAAAGATTAAGTGTGAATGCTAGCGCACACTTCATAGTATATTCTTTATAAAGTATTCAAGACCATTTAGATTAAGGGGGAAGGCATCTCAATACATTGGATGTGAAATTGGACAGGTTGTGTACGAATTGAGAGAAAATGCTTCCTTGGAGTTTTTTGAAAATTCAAATAGTGGGATTTCACATACAAGGGCTCATGATATTTTTTATCTTTTTGAATCAAATGTAAATGGTCTTATTGTACATACCATAAAAATCCAATATTATTTGTTTTCATGATGGGCATTTTATTCATTGTAAAATAGCAAGGTTAAGTGGTATTTTTGAAACTTTTCCTACTAAGGCAGTGAGAAAATGAGTAAGAGCCTGACATTAACCACCATTGTAGTTCTTACAACAATCTTGAACTATCTCATGAATCCTCTTTGAACTATCTCACATATTCTTCAACAAATTCACCTAAGCTAACATTCATTGATAAAAAAAGGGGAAAAAAAAATAAGGAAAAAGAAAACTGCACAACTTGAACCATCTCAAAGGGACTTACAGTTAAAAATCACCCATCTTCTTATTGTGTTCATCATAGAATGACAAGATTATTGAATTTCTTGTAGTACTTGACACAAATTTTGGTGAGCCTGGCTAGCGACAAGGTAATCGAGGAAAACAAAGAAGAGGACCTGCACTGGTCGTGAGAGACGGCACCAACATGCCATGGGCAGCTGTGAATGTCTGTGAACGCCCATAACCTGGTGCAATGCTTCCCCATCCTGACTGCACAAAATATGCACCATTCATGAATACATCGTTATAAGACCTCCATTTCCAACTCTTCCAACCACTGCTTTCTCTCTTGGTCACCTACAAAAGAGGATTGTTAATAACCAAAAACATTTTTGGGTGATAACAATCATCTAATATTTTTGATTGATTGATTATCTTTTGATTAGTTTTTCCTTTTCAAATAAAGAAATTTGTATACTTAACTTTTCAACAGTTTAACAATTTATCCTTTTTCAACTATTCCAACCCACGATCATGTCTATTTTGATAGAAAACACATGATTCTAATACTAAATAGTAGATTTCTTTTGATAAATTTTCTTTTCAAATAGCTGATATCATTAACTCTTTTAGGCCATTCATCTTTAGGAAACAGGTTTTACTTCACCGAGAGCACTTTTTTTGTTTTTTTATATAAATATCACCACTGGAAAATGATTGTGTTCCATAATAAGTCAAAGGGACTCATGCTAGCCCTAAAGGCGCCAGAGGTCATTCTCACCCAAGTAAATTGTCTTACGAATTCCGAAAAAAATTTTTCCATCGCCAGGAGAATGATACCAATTCGAGGAAATTGGTAATTAGTGTTAGCAGCTGGGAAAGCCTTGTCCTAGACTTTCCTCTATGTCCAATACCATTAACTCTTTTATGCAAATCATCTTTAAGAGGGAGGTTTTTCCATCACCAAGAGCACTCTTTTTTTCTTCCCCTTCCATCACCAAGACTGCACTGCCCTAGTGTAACAGCTGGAAAAGCACTATCCTAGTCTTTCCCGACTCAATATATTTTTGGCGGAAAGCTGATTCATATCTTTTTTGATGTAAAAGCACTTTCCCAAGCTAATGAGAAAGCTCTTTTCAAGAAGGACTTCTCCGAAGGCCATGAAAAGCACTCCAAAAAAATAAACATGCCTTAAATGTTTTCAACAAATTTTTTTTTTTTTTTTAATATTTGAGAATGAAGTGTAGTTAGCAAGTTGGGACACTGATGAACCAAAACATCGGCTACAAATCGATTTTATTTTAAAAAGTCGTAGTGAAAGATCGGGTAAAAACTACGGATCGCCAAAATATAAGGTAAGCTATAGAATCATGAATATTTTGGATTTGGTTCAAAAAAATGTAGTGAAAAAAATCGGATATGTAAAGATGATACAATGTAGGATTATGATTTGTAGCTATTGTATAGATATCCTAAAACCACTAAACAATACTTTTATAGCCTTACTAGTGCCATTAGAATGATACTTAACAAGTTTTGTTAAAACTTTAAATAAATCTAACAACAATGCTTACTTTGTTTTCACATCACAAAACATATCGTAGATTTATTGCGAGCACAAAATGAAATAACAACAACAATATTAAACACAAGACCTAATTAGTAAATAACAAGAATTGTGAACTAAAAGTATAGGATTATTTCTCAAAAAAAATATACATATAAAAAAAGCCTTCAAATTAGGATTGCAGCTAATTAAAAAAAACACGCAAAGACCCAATATGTAAAATAGTGATCCATCTAAATGCTATGTTGTATACACCAATTAAATACAAAAATAAAAATAAAAATATAAAGTTAATCAAACTTCTTTGTGCATAAAAGACAACAAAATGCTCAAAAACATTTGAATCTCGCACTGAGTAGCTACCTAGATCTTTAATATCATTAAATCTCTCTCTTTCTCTTGACAAGGACGCTATTGGTTTAAGAACAAAAAATAGATTTTTCATTAGGTTGCTCTTCTTCTGATTCTGCCTATTATTTTAAGATATATGATTGTTTTAATTACTTGTTTTTGAGAAATATATTGCTTGTATTTTTTCATACACTTGTTTTTAGTTAACTCATTGGTGAAATTTTTTATGGAATTTTTTGTTAAATAAAAAATATTAATTTACACCTATTGTTAAAGTATTTATCTTTAAATCAAATTTCAATAATATTAAGTTGGTGATGAAATAAAGCAATGGAGAAAAAGTTATTTTGTAAAGCTTTTTTGAAAAAAGATAAAATATGGATTTAAATTGGTTTCATTAAAAAATCGTGATTTTTTGAAGATCTTTTGAAAAAATTGGAGTTCTAAATGTACTTAAGAAAAATAAAAGATTTTTTGAAAAAATCATGTTTCAATCGGAGACTTGCTAAGTATGTATGGTTAAGACAACCGCCGCTATAAGGTGTTAATGCATGCCATACCATTCCTTATTGATGTCTCATTTGCAACTTACTTGTTTGAGGTCAACATTGTTGGGAGCAATGAAGTAATTCCCCTCGCTTAGAATGGTAGGGTTTGCACTCCCTCCAATTGCGTACATCTCCCATGTTTCATACATGTTGTTTGCAACATGCACGTAACCAAGTCTCACCCTGCAACCCACCACCAATCATCCTTTAATATTCATATTCATTCAAGCAAAAATTACTGGAATCTTTAAAATAATGAAGTGTAAAGAAGAAGAAGAATCATTAAAATAATGAAGTGTAAAGAAGAAGAAGAATCATTAAAATAATGAAGTGTAAAGAAGAATCTTTAAAATAATGAAGTGTAAAATAGGAGGAGGAGAAGGAGGAGAGAAGGAGAAGGAGAAGGAGGAGGAGGAGGAGCGATCTTATGTGCCTAAAAGAAATAATATCCCAAGATTTAGCTAGGATTGAAAGATCTAAGTGTTGAAGAACTCAAATCCAAATGGTTTTCAAAAAAGTCAATTATATAGTGACTCTCTAGTGGTTCATAAATTTTTAGATAGAAAAAATTCCTCCCAAGTTGCACTTTTCACGAAGGAGTAAATGTGCAGCATACTCCTACAACAGCATACCATAACATGAATCCTCTCCACTTTTGCACTATCAAATGGTCTTCGCTCCCTTTCGTGAACATTGCGAAATTCCGTTTCAGCATAACATCGACCATTGGTTGCCCCGAAAAGATTATGTAGAACACTTCGGATTGCATTCCTAATCCCATTCAAAAACGTGCGTTATCAATTGACTGTTGTTGTTATTGCTAGCGAATGTTATCAAATTCGACCAACAATTGAGCATGTTTGGGTCTAGTGAATATTGGTCTGATTATAATTCTAATCAGTTGGGCAGATTTTAAAAATATAATATATATATATATATATATATATATATATATAGTT